CTATGCTTTGGGACACACTTATTATAATCTAACATACTATTTAGGATGGATAGTATGAACATTGCGACGCAGGTATGGTCTTCGAGAGACTCACACGCGCATGCGCTGCGCCTACGTCATCCGCCGGAAAGGCAGTCTCTTGTGAACGACAGTCAGCAGAAGTCACACAAAACGGTTTATATCGTTTTACATATGGATATATATATTATTTTTTTTACAAAAACGCATCGATTTGCTACAGGAAGCCTTTATTCATCACATTTTAATATGGATGGACGCGCTTTATTTAACTACTTTTGGACTGTTGGAATAAAAACACCTACCTACCCCCATTCTAATGCTGGGAAGACCCAGGACAATTTTTAATATAACTCCTATTGCATTCGTCTGAAAACAGCAAGTCATATACACCTTGGATGCCTCGAGGGTGAGTAAAACATGGTTTTAAAAAAGTCATTTTTGGGTGAACTAACCCTTTAAAATTTACATGTAATTACACACTTTAGCTTTCCATCTAGTAGTTATTTTATGCAATGAAACAAACACAAAGTCTACATTATGTAAAAGTAGCCCTCACAGCCATCATTATGAAGGGTGAGGAGGGTTTTCATTATCACACAAGCCTTCAGCGTAGATGCCTTCCAGTGAAAATCACAAGAACCATCAAACTGGATAATCTTGCTGTTGAACAGAATCCAATGGCCTTGTTGGATTTGGTTGCATCTTTCTTGACACTTGACATCGGTTCAAAGGTGCCCAGTAACTCAAAAGAAGCCACAGGCACGGGACCAAGAATCATCGGCAATGCCATGAATAGGAAATCACATCTGATTGAGTTTGAAGGGTTTTTCAGACATTTAACCAAGCAACAACATTTGATTAACTGCTGGCTCCTCGGCACTCCCTTCAGACGACTCTCACTAAAGGATTTCGGTTGGTTATAAATAGCATTGATCTTTCACATCAGTATAATGAGTGCATATTTTGTCTCTCCATTTGCATACACTTGGGAAGAAGGTATTTGCCATAGAGAGGCACTCGACCGTCAGGGTGAAGCTCCTGTGAAATAGTCAAAGTTTAAAGATATTCTTGTTGTTTAATATTAATAGTTTCTGTGCACAACATGACATGATGACAGGCTGGTGTAACATTTATAACCATAGGGAAAGGGAAGGTCAGTTAATTTCTAGTACTGACATTTTATTGTGTGTTCAGAACTCAAGACAGCACAGTGATGATTTTTGATCTTAGACATCAGTTATTATGACCATGGCCTGAAATGTATATCTCAAAAGGATTTGTGTGTGCGCAGATACTGATATTGAGTAATACTTTAATTCGTCTGCCAAAGGACATGATAAATGAGTCCAAGAAAGCCTCATTTAGATCAGTGAGGGCTGTAAAACAAGACCTACAGTCCTCTTCTACGTCATTATTAACTGAGCCCAAGGAGGTAATTATGATCTTGTCTATTTAAAGAACACGCTCAAATGAGGAAAGACCTCAGCTTATTAAATAAATAAGGAGAACGTGGGCTGGAATCGTAATACATATTGTCTTTTGGTCTTCAGACACTGTAATTCAAATGTATGATCATAAAAATCCATTGCAAAGATCTTTAAATCATACATGCAGGAAAAAAATAAGGAAAAGTGAGGAAACAAGATTCCGCTCTGCAATTAATGGTGCTTTCTAAGGCAAAAACATATTATTGGACTATTTACAATATTATTAATCTTACATTTTCAGAATCCCTGACCCTAAGTATACACTTTGTTATGGAACTTATCCAGCATTGTTTGTGCTCTAATTTTGTGCCTTATTCATTAACAACAACTACTACTTTTGTATGCCTTCATACAATTATTAAAGTGATGATGAAATGGAAATAACAACTAGTTTTTCTTCTGTATTGTTTAACTTTAACTGACAGATGATAAATAGCCTCTAAATTATCTTAAATTTGGGCTTCTTTGATTTGGACCAGTGAACACCCTAGCAACCATTTAGAACATAGCAACAGAATAGCAATGCTCTGGCAACCACTAACATTCTAGCATTGTGATTGCAGGTTTTTCATGCACAAACATCTCTTTTCTGCTTTTCCTTTCACCGTTTTCTTCCGAAATGTAAAAATCTAGTTTCAATTACAATTTATATTCTTACTTAACAAGGTCAGAAATGCTTCTTGATATCTTTCTGAACCACTGCACTGTGTGTTGTGTTTCCATAAGCCTACGGAAAAAATCCTATTGGCTTTTCGTCAAGGGAACCAGTGTGATGCTAACAGCCGATCCGCCTACAAAGTGACGTCATAGCTCTATTGTCATTCGCAATATTGTAGCCTAACTCTTAAAGCCATTAGGTAGCCTACACAGTCTTGTACCTTTGTCTTTTTGTCCAATAATGAACTCACTGGATGTTAAGTAATATTACGGTAAAAAAAGTGGACAAATCTAACCAATAGCTCATGTTTACAAACAACTTTAGGGTTAGCAGACCTATCTTGCAATATCATTCACTATTCCTCTAACCTCTGGAGTTGGATTATCAGCAAATGCTGCCACACTGTTACATTTGAACAGGTAAGGCCTACTTCTTCAAGTGTTCCTGAAACAAAAACAAGTATATATGGCTTGCTATTGGACTTCCTAGGGCACAGCATGAAAGGGCACAATTTTCTGACCTAATCAAAATGACAGGTAGTTTGTGGTCACATTTAGAAGGTCCCACGTTGTTACAGTCTCCACTAAAGACTGCCAATCATATACATACAACACTTCACAGGACTTGTAGGCAAATGACTGCTTGATTTGTAGAGGTAGTGCCATTAAGCTCAGGGGGGTTGATTCATATTTCCTCTAGCCTGGAGAGGAAGCTTAATTATATACTAGTAAACAGCAGGGGAGCGCTAAGGACTGATGAGCTCCTAGTCAATAAGAAGCTGTCTTCAATCTAATAAGGATGATGTAAATTTGGATGATGGGTTGACATTCCTCCTATAAACATTCCCATGAGCCCACAGACACAAAGATGTAAGAAGAGGTCATGATTTTATTTATTTTATAAACATGAAGCACTCTCTAAATGCATAGCACACCCTATGAAAAACAAACACAAAAACCCAATAAATCCCAGCAACTGCTTATAGAGTCGTTGATTTTAGGTTTCCTCTAAGGATGCGTTAAGACTCTCCTAAATTAAATTAGGTTCTTTTTAAAAAGGGACACTTGGTGAAATTTTACCGGCACATAAATGACCTGGCCATGTTTCTGCCATCATCTTCCAAGTGTGCGTGAGAAGAAAGGGAAAACAATTAGGGGGAAAATGAAATAATATTAAAAAAAAAAATATATATATATATATATATATAATAAAATTGCGCTATAAATTCTAGTAAATTACACATGACAAACTCACATTCCTTTTATGCCTTCTCTGTATAGAGGTCACTTCTGCTGGATGACACTGCACTTCATAAAAGTAGAATTTTCTATGAAATTCTCTTTCACCCTTACTATAAAAGAAATATGAACCTTTGAGTCCCAGGCTGCAGTCAAGACTTTTTCACTACCTTTCCTAAAAGCCTCTTTTCACGCCACAGGAGAACTTAAAGTTTCATTCACATGCATTAGAAGCAGCCTATCAAAAATGCACTTTTCTTTGATGAAATGTAAGCAAGTGGGACTGATTTTAACATACCTCCTCGCAGTGATCAGATCAGAACTTCTCCTACAATGGTTTGTGATTGCAGCAGCGGCAGTGGTCATCATCACTCCTCCTTCTTTTGACAAACCAAAAATCAAGAGGCACATTTTAGAAGATGCTGTGTTGAGATGACTGCAAGAACCCATTTGATGTCTTCCTATTTTGACATTCAGAAACATTTATTTTTAAAAACTTTTTATGGTAAATCTGGTACAGAGCTCGGCTTGATGTTCTAACCTATTAGGCAAAATGGGAGAAATTACTGAGGAAGCTGTAATCTAACTCAATATATGAATAGGAGCTATAATACATGATATTTCTTTATACATTATCATATTTTATGATCATATTTATAGGTACAGAAAATGTTTTAAAGACCAAACTGATCCTCCTTTTCATACTCATGAAAAAGTTATGAAACAGAAAGGATGCCCAATCACAAGCATTAATGAGAATGTCAAACATACTTTATCAAAACCTGTGGAACTTATTATAAAAACAGTGACTGTATTTGTTTACGGTTTTAAAAGAGATAAAGGAAATGGAACAAATAAGTCGGTAAAACACAGACTGACACATATTGACCATACCAGACCATGTCTAAAGTGCAATATTGAGAGTGCCGCAGTCCCCCTGCAAACACAACAACCAGCATGACAGAGAACAGATAAGAAGATCCACTGAAGCAGCAGAACACAGCTCTGTAAACATAATTTATTCATAATTCTGCAGGACACTCACTGTGTTCAGGGCAATACTCAAGATTTAACAGTCAGGTCAAGATATAGTCATTGAAATCACATTAAAAAAAGAACAGAAAAATGTTAAGGCTTAATATTATTATTCACTTCAACCTGCTTGTTTACAATTATCTTTCACTGAAAAATGTGAATGTGAATGCAATATTTTGAGCATTAAATAAATATGCCATCAGGTGATTCTCTTGTCATTTGATGACAAGAAACATCCATCTTATGTATTTATTATAAAAACAGGTTAAGATATGCAGTTAACTTGAATTATTTTCATGCTTAAAAAGACACAGCAGACAACAGAATAGATGAGAATATAAAAACCATCACCATTTGGCAACAACAACAAAAAAAGAAAGTGGAAAAACACTTTAAAAGATTTTTACAGTAAAACATACACATGCAGCTCTGACAGAAATATGTTGAGTTTGAAAAAGAATCTAGACAAAATAAAAATATCATGAGAAGCACAACATGTAAACAATGGACATTAAAATTCCCAGATTACAAAATAATCAGCTCATAATAAGCAGTATTTTATTAAAATTAAGAGGAACAACCCATTTCAGGTAAAGACTCAATCTGAAGTAAAACAATTATAAAATAAAAAAAAAGGTTTACAGCAAATATGGTGAACTAAAGGATTGGATTTACACAGCTTTTAAATGTGGAAATGCAGGATTTATACTATTACTCATTTTAGACAATGTACAAAGGAAACAGCACTCTTATTATGATCAATGTAGCTGCTGTTTTCGTAGACTTTAATGGTAGAAGTTCACTTAAGTGAGGAGCACTGTTTGCACTGGAAAAAAAGAAACCTTGACTTGTATTACCTAAGACTGACAGGGTGCCAATTTTCAAAACAGTGTCCCTGTTAAACACAACTAAGCTGTGTTAAATCTAAAGGCATTCTGACTCTTTAGTGCACTGCTTCAGATCTGATTTAGTTCTGAGACAGAAGGTAGTATCATTAAATTTTGACACAAAAAACTACCCATTTTCAGCTGACAGATGAAATAATGAATCCTGGGAGTAACTGTTAAAACGATATTGACAGTACAAAAATTGCTTGCATCAGTGTGTCTGTGGCTGATATTACAGAAGTAACAGCACGGTTGAGTTTTGCAGAGCTACAAACAGTTCATTTCACCCACAGCACATGATAGTACCTGTAGAAATCATTTTTTTTATGAGTTTGCACTCAGTCAATTAAAGGCATGCATTTGCAGCATTTGGCCCACTTGCTTTGGTACTTGGTCTCCTGGGTTCCGCCGTCCAGCAGACCATCCATATAGTGTCCATACTCCTCGATGGCATCTTCCACACGGGTGATATAAAGCCAGGTAAAGATCACACCAAAAAACTAAAAGAACAAAACAAAAACTTTTACTTTTGGACAACAAAATTGTCTTCTGTGGAAGCACCCTACAGCATTACAACTGGATTGAGATCTGGACTATGACTTTGCCCTTCCAAAACCCTCAACAGATGACCATTCTGCACAATTTGTGCAGCTTGTTTTTTAATGGTTGCCTGATGCACACTCTCATTAACTCTTGCTAGAGCTGCCTGCAAATCTATTGAAGGCACCCTGAGGTTCTTTGAGACTTCCTGATGCATTTGCTCTTGGGGTGAATTTGGTGAAATGGTCTGGCTTGGCTATATTGCCAGTGGTCTGAAACATTCTCCATTCATTTTGCATACAATGGCTTTCAATCCCTTTTCAGATGCATATCTTTCAACAGTCCTTCTTCTTTGAGGTTCAAGCGGTTCTTTTATTTTCGATATAATGATACCATGTACTTCAATGCTTATGACCAAACTAGACCAGTTTACTGAGGTTTATATAAGGTGTGGCCAGGGTTGCCAGGTCTGCTTAAAAAAACTAGCCCAATAGCCAATCAAAGAAAAATGTCTCATTCACGCTCGTCCATATAACAGCAATGAATGGCGACCACCATCAAGCTTAAAATACAATGCAAAAGTATCACAGAATGATCCCATGCGACACGTGTCATAAACTCCAAGTGTTCTGGGGGTATACGATAGGGTTTGGTGAAAAACAAAACAAAATGTAATATATTATTTAATGAAAATTCTTACTTTGGCCATCACAGTCATGAGACTCTATTAGCACAGCTGTTCACACAATCAAGATTAATAAAAGCGTGACAAAATCTATCTACTCTCTTCACTTAGGTTAATATATCTGTTGTGTTCATCAAAACAAATGAATGCGTTCCTATCGGTCAACTGTCATTCATGACAATCAGGTTCCAGTCTGGAGATATTCAACTCAGTGAAGAAAAATACATTGATACTTTTTTCTGGATTTCATGTCACGTTTTTATTCGTCTCGATTTCTCGCAACTTAGAGAAGTCGACATGTGAGATCGTTCTGTGATACTTTTTGCATCTTTTTTAAAAGCTTGATGCTGGTCGCTATTCACTGCCATTAAATGGAAGAGTGCATGTGGGACATTTCTTAAAATTTCTCCTTTTGTGGTCTGAAAAATAAAGAAGGGCATACAGCATTAGAACATCACAAGAGTGAGTAAATGATGACTTAATTTTCATTTTTGGGTGAACTTTCTATTTAATCTGCACACTTCATACTCCAGCTATACAATTTGTCCAGTAATATAAATCTTGTAATAAACAACTGGGATGTTTCACAGTGTGGGTAGACTGACTAATGACTTTCCCCAACTGTGAATCGCCATTTATGGAAAAATACAAAACTAATTATGAAAGCTTCTCAGTTTCAAGAATTTTCTTGCAAAAAAAAAAAAAGTCTCGCCGCTCCTTCCCACTCGAATAAACATATTTGCACACATGCACACAAACATCAGACTGAAAAACGATCAGATGGAAACATTACAATTCAATATGATGTGAATGTTAAAGTCATTGCTGGAAATGCTATATTAAAGTCTTTCTCAACAATACCTGTGCTTATCACAGATACAGCTCTATATCTTCTGGCTTAATTTCCTGTGAAACAGCCTACAGACAGGGACTGTCTGACCTAATAGAAACGTAGCCCTGTTGCCAGCACCTCTAATGTACTGGAGCCTTTATAAGAAAGACTTAAATTACATTTGGTGTGCATGTGCTTTCTGTGTTGGTGGGTTATTATCAAAGGTGCAGCATTATTTAAATGACTACAAAAAGGATTCAGAATTTATGTGATTATGATAATCTATATCTGGGACTGTGCTGTGGTGTTTTTCAGGGCACCAAGGCACCTCTTTAACACTGGTTAAAGTGGGGGGACACACAGAAACAGCTGCACATTAGAGGCTGCTTTTGAAAGTGAATCGGATTTCTAGACTGCTAATTTGTTGAAAACCCGTCTACTCTTTTGAGAAATATTGAAATTCATTCAAACCATGCCTCTCTCACCAGCCACATCTTAATCAGTGTGGAAAACACTTAATGGGAGGATACTTTATAAAAGGTTTCTTAATTACACTGAATTTATGAGTGGGCACAGATAATGATGAAACCTGAATAAAGACTAAATGAAATATCCTCATAAATCAAATTCTTGGTCTTTTGAGGAGAAAAATTATTGCCTTTTTTTGTTTTGGAAAGTTCTGTCAAAGTAAATATATGAATATGAATAATAATGTATTAATAATGCTAATAATAATTAGTAGTAGCAGTAGTAATATTTAGTAATAGCTAAATGTATTACAAACTTTAAATATAGAGCATTTACACAATTAAATCTAATAACATCCTACTAAAGTGAAAATTAAATAGAATTTTGTTCACATTCTTTTCTAAGAATGAGTAAGAAAAACTGAGTGCTGGGGTACTACCGATTTTGTGACGTTCAATGCAAAAAAGCATGTCTGAGTGAGACAAAAATCCCCCCCCCAACACCCTTGTGAAAACCATTTAAAACTATAGTAATTGCTGAAACAACTCTCATCTCAAACACTTTGAAAGGTTCTTACAGCCAAAGAAAAATGTCATTTTTGATGCTGGCAAGCTTACAGACTTTTAATTAAAAGTGATAAGAGCATGTATGTTTTATGTAAAGTAGATAATTTGTATTATTAAAAAGTCTTATGCAGACAATCTGAATCTTCTTCACTGATAATCACAAGTCTTACCTGAGGAACTAAGATGCCCAGAAGTAGTCCAGCCATGATTTTATAGTTGTCCATGAACCAAATGAAGACGGCATTAGTGCAACCACGGGTGTAGATCAAATCTATATTTTCTATCCTCTGCGGGCAAAGGTCAGGCAATAGAAATGTTATTACATTGCAGTGTCAAAAAACTGCCATCACTTTATGTCTCATTAACAACTAGTGTTATAAAGTGATATATTGAAAATGAGAGATAATTGGATGCAGTTATAAGGCAGATCATCATTCATCTGAGGTGTTGCATATTCTCAGCCTGTTAAAATTCAAAGGTGTTTCTCATCGCTCTTCTCAGTCTAATCTAATTATTAGAAACTATAGTAATTGCTGAAACAACTCTCATCTCAAACACTTTGAAAGGTTCTTACAGCCAAAGAAAATTTTCATTTTTGATGCTGGCAAGCTTACAGACTTTTAATTAAAAGTGATAAGAGCATGTATGTTTTATGTAAAGTAGATAATTTGTATTATTAAAAAGTCTTATGCAGACAATCTGAATCTTCTTCACTGATAATCACAAGTCTTACCTGAGGAACTAAGATGCCCAGAAGTTTTCTAAGAATGAGTAAGAAAAACTGAGTGCTGGGGTACTACCGATTTTGTGACGTTCAATGCAAAAAAGCATGTCTGAGTGAGACAAAAATCCCCCCCCCAACACCCTTGTGAAAACCATTTAAAACTATAGTAATTGCTGAAACAACTCTCATCTCAAACACTTTGAAAGGTTCTTACAGCCAAAGAAAAATGTCATTTTTGATGCTGGCAAGCTTACAGACTTTTAATTAAAAGTGATAAGAGCATGTATGTTTTATGTAAAGTAGATAATTTGTATTATTAAAAAGTCTTATGCAGACAATCTGAATCTTCTTCACTGATAATCACAAGTCTTACCTGAGGAACTAAGATGCCCAGAAGTAGTCCAGCCATGATTTTATAGTTGTCCATGAACCAAATGAAGACGGCATTAGTGCAACCACGGGTGTAGATCAAATCTATATTTTCTATCCTCTGCGGGCAAAGGTCAGGCAATAGAAATGTTATTACATTGCAGTGTCAAAAAACTGCCATCACTTTATGTCTCATTAACAACTAGTGTTATAAAGTGATATATTGAAAATGAGAGATAATTGGATGCAGTTATAAGGCAGATCATCATTCATCTGAGGTGTTGCATATTCTCAGCCTGTTAAAATTCAAAGGTGTTTCTCATCGCTCTTCTCAGATGATCAGACCTTTGACCCCTCCAAATGAATGTATTTATACCAGGTGGATTGACACTGGACACACAGCACTTATATCAGAATGCACTTATAAGCTACGTTAACTTTCTTCATTCAAGGAGGTGTGATCAGGGCGCTTACCTCTTTCCTCAGGGCCTTGTATCCACACAAAGTATTAACAACTTCAGAAGGCTGTAATACACAAGCAAATGCAGTCTTAATATTTTTATAAAAGTAAAACACCTAGATGCATACAGTAGCTAATGGTTTATTCAGCTGTGAGATTATGTAAGTGTACCTATTTGGCAAACAGCAAAACCTCTTGTGGGGAAGACATTTAACATTCCCAACCCGCATAGGTATGAAATTACACTTGGTGCTGATTAATGACTAGCCTACTCTCTACATAACAGGTTTCCATTACACTAGTTTTGATCCCTGTTTTGTCATTCTAAGTTATAGAGGTATTAGTCTTAAACTAATGTGGTGATAAGACTACTAAGCTTTATAAATGAAGCTGAAGTCATTCTGTGAGTAACTGTACACATTTTGATTACTTTTAAATGGTTAGTTCACTCAAAAACTAAAATTCTGTCATAATTTACTTATCCTGTCATTCTAAATTCATAAGACTTTGGTTTGTCTTTGAAACCCAAATGAAGATATTTAATGAAATGATAGATTTCTATCCCGTCACTGAAAGTTCAAGCAACTTTCAGTCAATGTGCTCTATGTATGTGCATTGATAAATGTTTCTAAGTAAATAGACGCTTAAATTAAATCTATTCATCATATAAAGTGATCGCGTCTCTTCATAAAAGTTGGACTGAACTGCTTGATTCATATGGGTTTCTTTCCTGATCTCTTTATGAACTTTTTCGGTTGTATGAACTTTCAATGGAGGGACAGGAATCTATCAGATTTCATTCAAAATATTTTACCTTTTGATTTAAAGATGAACAAAATCATAAGGGTTTGGAACAACATGAGGGTGAGCAAATTATGACCATTTTAATTTGGGGGTGAAGTATCCCTTTAAATCAGTGTGGCATGACCTTATTTAAATGGAAAATGTTCCATATATAGTTTTCAATGTAATATGTTTACCGATGACATACAAAACATACATCAGGAGACAATCCAAAAAGACAAACTGATGTGTGGATTGAGAATTTTAAAAATCCTTTAAGCTCAACATATTTAGCTATTTAGCATATTTAGCTCAAGGGCATTAAACAATGTGTGATTTTTATTTAATATGAGGTCTACAAACAAATAGGCAGATAAGTTATCAATATCTTGTTTCATTTTGCAACAACTGTGTATCTAAGACGATAAGCAGACATTGTTGCAACTAAGGCACCTTGAGGAATCAAAATGACTGTGAAAAATAACTGTAGCAGAAACAAATCAAAGATGAGAATCAACTGTCAATATATTTGCATTTACACTGGGATTTTTGTTTTTGAAAGATGCATCTGCCAAAATATTCTACAATTTATTTCTTCATACACTGAGCTGGTTAAGTGATATAAGATTTCATATCTTGTAATTTGATTTAGAAGCAAAGAAACAACAATGAACAAATTGATCTCCATCAGGCTTAATGGAGTGGGATTAAAGATCATTTCATTGGTATTAAAGGTAATGCCCTCAGATTACATTCTGATATTTGATTTCAGACAAAACTTTCTGACGTAATCTTCATATATAGACAGCAGCATTGCTTTGTCTTAGACTGAAGTAGTGATGAGGTAATGCTTGTCCAGGGGTAATCTGCACACAGCTGGACGTCGGCAAACAAGCTCTGTGCTTTTTCCAAAACTAATGAAAAATAAATGTCCTTTTTGACTGTAAGACCTGCTTTAGTATCGCACTTTAGAGGACCTATTTTTTTAACTGTCCTATGCAACTCCAAAAATTGGCTCTTTCGATATTCAGGTAAATGTAATTTCAAGCTGGATCTTGCTACGAATGCTCTGGCTTGTGTTGAGAATGACAAGAAAATAAATGCGCAAGAAACTAACAAAAATAGCTTCCGTCTTTATCAGCACATGGTGTAACAATATCTTCCAGACTCGCAGATGGGTCAATTCCTGTTAAGCAGCACGTTTTCTTGTCCCCATCATATGTCATATAATGGACTTTATAAGACTTTTCAGATTTGGGGAACACAAAAAATATATTTAGATTTTTTTCTATGCAATGAAAGTGAATGAGAGCTATTGTTGTTTGCAGCATTCATTAAATTATCTCCTTTTGTGTTCCAGAACAGGTCACACAGGTTTAAAATGACACGAAGATGAGTAAATTATGACAGAATTATCAACATTTTTAGGTGAACGATGACTTAACAAAAGACAGGTCCCTTCCACCAGGAAGTGACATAATTTTTGGCATGACAAAAGCAGCACAAATATTCCAGCCTAAATTGATACTCATGTAAACGAACTCTCAGCCCCTCACTGGGCAATGGCTAGCTCTAGCTCTTTATTTCCATCCTGTTTGACAGCTTGTTCATGCTATTGCCATTGTGTAAATCATCAAGCTATCAATCAATGCTTCATCAGAGCATATTTTCGAAAATCTAGTACCCATTTATAGACATACTTCTTAAAATATAACACAATAATATTCACTTTCAGCAGTTATAGATTTCAAATGTACACAACACAGGAATGATCCAGATAACGCAGGATCACTATGAGCTCAACGTTTTCCATAAACGAACAAAAGTAAAGCAAAGCAACTGGGTATTATAAAAACTGGAAAACCTGAGCAGAAAAACACTTCATGCATCATTTCAAAAGTATGATGTGTGGACAGTTATTTTCCAGTTCACTGGATGTAGTGCCATTGTTTTTGCACCTGTAAAATTTGGAATGTGCCATTTATTTGTGAAACTGAAAGCAGATATGAGCAGAGCTTAAATGGTACTAAACAAAATGGGGAATGCTGAGAAACACAAAATGACCATTTATTTTTTTATGCTTTCCATCTGCCCACATTTCTCCCTTTAGATCTCCTTTCAAGTGAGCAAACAGTAACCTCTTGAAAGACTCAAAAAGAAATAAATGCTTTTGTTTCCCGTCAAGTGAACCAGGGCTGATCTAAATTTAGAATTTCAGTATTTGCTTCCATTCAATTTAAGCGCTAACACTTAAACTACACTTAAAAATGCTAGGATTATATTTCGTTAACAGAAGGTTTATTTATGTAGGTTATTCGACAGCCGTCAGCAACGACTATGCCAAAGTTTACAGACATACAGCAATATTTGTTTATGAAACATTTTCAAAAAGATCCTGAGATAAGAGGACTTTGCAATAACATGAGTTAACGTTCTGTGTTAACAGGACACCAAATTAATTAATGACTGCAGCTTCAGACACATTGTGACAAGAGGGGCGGGGCCGAGAGCCGTTGGAACGGAGCGAGGCTGGTGGAGTAATTGATAATGTGCGACACCTGCACCACTCACCGGTCTCGAGTCTCACGGAGGAGCTCCGGAAGGATAAAAGGAGGAGTGACGACAGGGAAAGACGAGAGAGGACCAGGCCTGGAGTTTATTTTGAGTTTTGGTTTCGTTTGTGTGCGGCAGTCGTCCGCGAGGGGCTGTTGCGCTCTTTTGTGTTTATTTTATTATTAAAGTTTTCTTTGAGTGTTCGCCGGTTCCCGCCTCCTTCTTCCCGATCTACGTTACACACATTAACTTGACTATTTGATCTAATGTGCACACCAGATTTTAATTTTTTTGAAAGATGTGTCTGTGATATTGGAAGATATTATTACAATTTAAAATAGCTGCTTTTTGTTGTTGTTTTGAACATATTTTAAAGTGTAATTTATTCCTGTGATGGCAAAGCTGAATTTTCAGCAACCATTACTCCAGTCTTCAGTGTCACATGATTCTTCAGACATCATTCTAATATGCGGATTTGAATTTGCTCATGAAAACATTTGTGCGGTTTAATATTTTTGTGGAAACTGTGATTACATGTTTATGGGTTCTTTGATGAACACAAAGCCCAAAAGAACAGCATTTATTTAAAATCTTTTGTAACAATGTAAGAAGTCTTTAATGTCATTGTTGATCAGTTTAATGTGTTTTTGCTTTTGAATTAAAGCATTAATTTCTTTACAAACAAACAAACAAAAACCCTTATTGGCTCCAATAAAACCTTACTGACTCCAATGAAAATGGTATTGGGCATGTGCTTTATGACAAACTAGAGTCATATAAATGTGACTCCTCTCGTAAAAAAGTCATATATTTCAAATACATTTATTTCATACTAAGTATAGTTCAAAACTATTAACATATTTACTGACATATTGCTCGAGACTTACTGATATAAAAATTATAATTAAACTTTATTTAGAGTACTACTTGTGCACATTTCTTAATTTTAAACCTAAAATGTGTTTTAATGTCCCTATTGATGAGGATTGTATGAACTTTGAATAATATCAGTCTTTAAATGCAAGATATTTTAAGTGTTCCATGAAGTGTGCTTGCAAATGTTCCACTTTAGCACAATCAAATATACGTTAGTATATCTTTAGTTGAACTTCAGAACTACTTCTGCACAATTAAAGTGCATTAAGTGCAAAATTGGTTGTTCTAATTTAGCAGACTTCAAGTATACCAGTTTAGTATACTAAAAGTACAATTGAAAGGTATTTTTTATTTTTCACTAGGGTCTTGTTGTAAGAGTAGTGTTAAACAGCAAACATAACATAATGAGCGGTGTGTGCATGTATGTATAGGTTGACACTGTAAACTGTAGGTTGACATGAAAACATATTCATAGACAAACCTTGCTCGGACAACAGGTGTAAGGCACCGCACACGCTAGAGGACCAGGAGCAGAGCAGTTATGATACATGTTCACCTGCCAGTCTGAGAAGTCGGTTCCCCCACAACATTTGAACTGGAAAAACAAGAATCAAAGCAGTAAAAATCGCTAGTAGATTGAAATATCAGCAAAGCTTCAGACGAAGGCCAATATTATTCGGAAAAGTTGGTTGTTCCTCATCTGGCACTGCTGAAAACATTACAAGACTACTAGAAGAATAATTGTGCATTGCATTTTTAAAAACAACATTTGGGTAATGTACAAATGGTTGGACACGAGTTGAATTTTCTAGTGTGTCATCAGCTAAATTGCACCTAGGTTGACAGGGCATGAAACACGAGAGTTTAAATGAATAATCTGAGCTGCTCTGTATACCTTTATTGAGCCAAAACTTTCAGAGGACAAGCATGAATAAATATTAGGCTCCTGTCTTCACTCAATGAATGGCACAAGTCATATTCCAGCACCACAGCTCATTTAAATGGCAGTGAATAACATTAGCGGTAATTACTTAAGCAATTGCTTGATTCTCTCATAAGAAACACATCTCATACTAATGTACAAGAATTCTATGACAATCAGCTTAAGGAAAACAAAGAGCATAATTGTTTGATGAAGATCCTACTGTGGATAGCTAACAGAAAAAAGGTATTTTTTATTTTTCACTAGGGTCTTGTTGTAAGAGTAGTGTTAAACAGCAAACATAACATAATGAGCGGTGTGTGCATGTATGTATAGGTTGACATGAAAACATATTCATAGACAAACCTTGCTCGGACAACAGGTGTAAGGCACCGCACACGCTAGAGGACCAGGAGCAGAGCAGTTATGATACATGTTCACCTGCCAGTCTGAGAAGTCGGTTCCCCCACAACATTTGAACTGGAAAAACAAGAATCAAAGCAGTAAAAATCGCTTGTAGATTGAAATATCAGCAAAGCTTCAGACGAAGGCCAATATTATTCGGAAAAGTTGTTTGTTCCTCATCTGGCACTGCTGAAAACATTACAAGACTACTAGAAGAATAATTGTGCATTGCATTTTTAAAAACAACATTTGGGTAATGTACAAATGGTTGGACACGAGTTTAATTTTCTAGTGTGTCATCAGCTAAATTGCACCTAGGTTGACCGGGCATGAAACACGAGAGTTTAAATGAATAATCCGAGCTGCTCTGTATACCTTTATTGAGCCAAAACTTTCAGAGGACAAGCATGAATAAATATTAGGCTCCTGTCTTCACTCAATGAATGGCACAAGTCATATTCCAGCACCACAGCTCATTTAAATGGCAGTGAATAACATTAGCGGTAATTACTTAAGCAATTGCTTGATTCTCTCATAAGAAACACATCTCATACTAATGTACAAGAATTCTATGACAATCAGCTTAAGGAAAACAAAGAGCATAATTGTTTGATGAAGATCCTACTGTGGATAGCTAACAGAAACTAATGCAGCATGGGATGTCAGTCACAATGAAAGACTGCTGTGACAGGCACTGAATGTGGTTTAAACAGAAATATATAAAATAATCCCTTTTTCTTAACAATGGACCAAACAGAATGTGCTAAACCTTTTCCTTTCGACCATCACAGAGTGAGGAATGATTACTAGAAATTGACTGTTCTTAGAGGTGCCGCTCTACTTAATTTTTTTTAAAGTCAAGTCAAAAAGGAGCTTGTTAATAAAATGAAATTGCTGTAATATTTCTGTACATAACTGAGAAACAGCTGGCTGTAATTACTCACATTAAACAGGTACATGCAGAATCTCAGGGTGAGGTTGTGCAGCTGGTGGACTGGCACAGAGTCATTCTCATGCGCCTGAATGCACCTCAGAGCCACTGGGCTCACTTAGAGTGTTTCCATTGAAATGTCTGAGCATTGAAATGTTGTAGATGTGTCTGCTGGGTGCCTAACATTTTTAACTACAGTACAAGCAGTGCTCTTTAAATGGACTCGTCCTATAAATAAACACAAAGGAATTTCTAATGGTTGGTTTCAATGTGTTAATTCTGAATGCACTCAAAGAGTTGTTGTTACCTAATTAATGGTCATAAAAAAGTACATCTGAATTGGCATTACATCTGAGTTACATGATTATAAGGGCCTTGATTTTCGTAGTGTAGAAAACACAGAATGAATTGTATTATCCAGTCATTAAAACAGAATTTATAGAGCAGAACATCATGGAATTGGGAAAATAAGTAAAAATTAGAGCTGTACAATTGATGCTCATGGTTTTTTCAGTGTCTGCTGACTATATGAGTACATCCACATGAACTTCATCTCCAGAGCTGCTCTGAGATCTGCAAATAAATTCTTTAAAGGGTCTTCACTATAACATTCAAATAAAAGTTCTGTTTAGCCTGAAAAATTATGGCAGAATTAAAAAAATAATAATGTATACATAAGATGTTTTTGAAATCAAGGTCATCATAGTAATTAACCATGCCTTTGCGGATGTTTTTGTTGAGAAGGTCCTCTGTCTGATTGACAAAGAAGGTCAGTGTTATAACAGGAAGATGTTGTTTTTGCAACAAAATGTAACAAGTCTGATTTCTTTTAGCATGGGATGTTGAGCCTTTGTTGTTGCAGTTAGAAATAAACTAAATAAAACTGTAATATCTGAGGACTGGTACAATTCGTGTTTTTTTTTTAAATATGATTTAAATTATGTTCACAATGATGGTAATTATGCTCTGGCATCAAAATTATTTTGTTTATGATTGCTGAAGTGTCAAGCAGCCAAACAAATTTCCACATCCAGCAGACGCTAAAACACAACCTCAACTAATCACAAAACAGTCATTGCCCAGCAACCATGTAACAGTACTCATAATTATCTTTTTCAAATGAGCATGGATCCCATTTGCCCAATGAAATGTATAACAAAGAAACTTCCAACGGTTATTGTCACATTGCATGGCTAATGACTATAAAATACTGCAATACTGAATTCTGTATGTATACATTTCTTTTTGTGAGCCATGTCACAGTCTGCCACTTGGAAATGTACATCAAAAAACCAGTCTTATTATATAAAGGAAGGGATTTGTCAAGAACATTATAAATGAAACTAGAAAGAAGATAAAAATGGCTGTACCTGTCTCCTAAAGATCAAAGCAACAATCCCACTGACAAGCTCCAAAATGAGACAGAGAGCCAGCATGTAAAGAAACTGCAAAGCAACAGTAAACAGAGGATCTCAAATGAAACAGAGACACACGCACATTACTCAGATACAAATGAAACAACAGTTGCAAGCCTCAGATTCTGCCCTACATGGGCAGTGAGTCCATCTATGTGTGCGTGTACAGCACCCAGTGCCATTTTCACAAGGCATATATGGACTAGTGAATACAAATAGCTCATAAAATGATTTAATTCCCATCAGCTTGTTTTCTAGCTAGTGGCATTAGGCAGTTGTATTAACAGAGAAACTGGAAAATAAGAGGATACTTTTCTTCATGAGACAAACTTCCACTTCTGCTGAAACAGGAAGCACTCTTAGTACTGTTTATCATTTTCAACCCTGTTGATAATAACAGCACTTTAAGAATTTAATATGTTGATAGCCCTGCCTTCACCATGTGATCTTTAGGCAAATGAGAGTGGTAATTTTCATAATGGGTTTGACTGGTATCAAACGTCTGCAACGTTCATGTTAATTCTACATCAGACGATCTGATGTTTGACGCATTGTGAATGTGTAGTCAGAAAGTGTTATCCAAATGATTCCTTTATTCAAACTGATAAATGACTCATTCCTAATGACTCATAAACTAGTATAGTGTGGTTTGTTTAACTACTTTTTTAGTACAAGTGATTTAAGTAAGAATGTTTTCTGCTTTACTATTGACCCCCTTTTCTTCTTGTGGAACGCAATAGAAGTATTTTGAAAAACTACTTTGTTCATATAATGACAGTCAACGGGGAACATAACACTAGACTTTCAATGTATGGACAAAAACAAAATATATTTTGCAGTCCCCTATAAAACGAAAGTCATACATGTTTGGAACAACATGAAAGGGTGAATAAATAATGACAGGATTTTCATTTTTAGGTGAACTGTCTCTTTGTGCTAATGATATTATTTGTTTGCTTCCTACAAAAAGAATCATTAAAAAGAATAGAATATGAAGTGTTGTGTATAGAAAATCAATATGATTTACATAAGTGATGTGCTGAAGAGGACACTAATATATGCAAGAGTCTGATGGAAAAATAAAAACATACCACTTTGAGAAGGCACAAGTTGTCTCTGAGAGATGCCAGAACGCCGATGAAGGAGACGATGAACATGATCACACCGAGCACAATGAGGATAATGGCAGGAGCCAGGAATACTCCATCCAGAGTTTTGTACTGTTGCCTCTCCACCTCCGCGTAAATGCCAATGGCCAAAATAAAGCCCCCTATGAGCTGAAACAAATCACACAAAGCAGACCATTTGGGTTTCATGCAAAATTACATTACATTACAAATGGGAAGAATATCACTATTTTAGCTATATTAGTAACTTTAAAAGGCACATGGGATAAAAACAACACAAAAGAGTACATTTAGTCACATTCAGGGCCACAAAAATGGACATTACTGAATCTAGCAGTATATTCTTCAGTATGTTTTTCATACTTAAAGTTATTATGATTCAAAACAGAGCAAAGTAAAGCTATGTGAAACTGTGACCTCCTGGGTTAATGTATTCCAACCTTGAATCTTAATGGCTCCCCAAAGCGACAAGTGTGATTTCCATTTGGAAATATTCTACATGATTATCATACTCTACTGATCGGAGCTGTGGTTGACAAATCGTAGAATTAAAGCATGTGGTGTAAAATCCAAACCATTTCTGTGTCACAATAAAAAGTAGCAGAAAGTAGATCTGGGAGAAGCATATTCAGACGAAGTTGTGCAAAACTGACATAGCAAATGCACTTCTGTAACCCTGAGAAACAAACACTGAGCTCCAGTGACATGGCTTAATGGCATAATCAAATAATAACCATCATAATGCTGCCCCGGTAATTGCAGTAAAACCACTCCACGCCTGTTAACTCATTGTGTGTGTGTGTATGTGTGTGTGCATATGGGATTTACAACACATTTGTTGTGCTAATGCATTCCTTTCTCATTCAACATCACACCAGCATGTAGTCTGTACGGATAAGTTGTAATCATTTTCCTCAAATGAATGAAGGCACCATCAGTATGTACCGATTGGATGTCTTATCAACAGCATTCAGATGAGAAAATAATTGGCAGTGCATAGATAAAAAGTAAATATTATAAACTCAAATAGTGTGTAAATCACAAATTTTTCTAAAATTATACTGTACTGTTCAACAATGACATCAACGGATCAAGTTTCAGGAGGAAGCAGCTAAAGTGTATGGTGAATGTGAGGGGGTGTAAACAGGTCAAACTGGTGGAAATGAATGGACTAATTACACAGTAAACAACTCACCCACTCTGACCACTTTTAGTCTTATCCAAATTAAAATTAAGTTGAAACATGAAATGATCCGTGGGTGATCCGGATTTAATGAAGGTCTATTCAGTTTGGTAAAATTAAAGGTCCACCTCTATGTCTACCATCATCATCAGGTTTCAGAGGGTTTGTTGACTAGTGGGCTAAAAAAAGAAGGTGGATATTCATATAATTAAACAACAGGTAGCAGTGTTTGAGATAAACAAATGTGTGTTACTGTATTTTTTTTTATTAGAAAAGAAATATAAAACTGTTAACATATATTAAAATGTTAATTCTCACTACCTATTAGGGCTGCACGATAAATCGCATGCGATATTTAACGGGCATCTTGTCAGTAAAGCCGGTTCTTTAATCAGCGGTAAACCTCCATCACGTGCGGGCTTTCACATGGAGCAGCATTAACTACAGAGAGCCGTTGTTCACCAACAAGCTGCGCAAAACATGCGCAAAATATGATTGTGGTTTTGCGCAGCTTGTCAGTATGCACACACTTTTATGCACACCAATGCTGCATTAATTTGATCAAAAATAAAAACAGTAATATTGTGAAATATTATTGTAATTTGAAATAACTTTTTTGTATTTTAATATATTTTAAAATGTAATTTATTCCTATGTTGGCAAAGCTGAATTTTTAGCAGCCATTACACCAGTCTTCAGTGTCACATGATCCTTCAGAAATCATTCTAATATGCTGATTTGCTGCTACTACTAAACCCTAAACTTTTGAACAGTAGTGTAATTGTACGTTAATGATAATTTGATGTGACTTGATTTTAATCATTTTATATACAAGCATATAAAAGAATATGGTAGCATTGATTAACCCGGATGTGTAAACATAAATGAAACACAAATTTACAAAAAACAACAACAACAAACGAAGAGAAGCAAAGACCCTCTCTGCATTTCAGAAGACCACCAATAATTATAATAGTTTAAATTTTTTTATATTCGTATATTTATTAGTTATAACGTAAATGGCAACACTAAATCCTTGAGGTATTGAAAGATTAAAAAACAGAAACAAGATATGCCTTTATGTTTAGATCCCTCAATAAGGTTACAAAAGCCACCTGGGAAATTGGTTGGAAAGTGTCAACCAGAGTTATGACCTTTGGCAGACTATAAAGACTGAAGGCATAAAGGTTGATGGAGTCCGAGCGAGGCCACCACCACCTCATTTCAACAGAAAATCTCTCAAGCTGAAGCTGGCTCAATCTGGTTGCTCATAATTTATAATGCATTTATGTTCATGCCTCTTTATATGTCAAAACATATTGCTTAAACACTATATGAAAACAAAGAGCGTCTGGAATGGATAGTAATCTCAAAACCTCTAGCACATGCACCTGCAAATATACACAATTCAAAACTATTTTGTAAAAAACATCCAGAACTGCCATTAAGCCAATCTATGAAGTTAGCACAAGTCAAGCAATTTGTACACAGTTGTTCACTTCAGAATGCCTTTTACCACTCAACATGAGTGCACATTAATCAACAGAGATGGTGAGCAGATGTACTCCCTTGCCTTCGTGAACAGAATAGCCATCTACACATAATAATTCACCCTTGCAGCCCTGCGTGAGGCACGTGCACCAGGTCTCTTGTGAAACCCATGATGAAAGCAGCACAAACTGTGCACTGGGTCAGCCAGCACTGTAATACTGGTGCCAATGGGCCACCAAGAGCCTCGGCGGGTGGCATAATGGTCTGAAATGGGGTCCTATGGGGCCCATTGTTTATGCTGTCAGTGTGATGGGTTCAACATGTGCAGACCTGCTCTTCACAGAAAACAGGGAGAGAAGCACAATGGTGCAGCCCGTAGCATTTCAAACCTCAGCTGTCACATAGAGTAGCTTTGACACCAGCCTTTTACTCACAATAATCTTTTTCAAATGTCAATAACGGATGAGAATAAAGATAACTACAGAATGGCATAGTCCCTATGCCATGACAGCACCTCAAACTTGAATAACACTTCTATGAAAAGCATTATTTGCATATAAAACAGTATAAAAAGAATACATTAATGGCACAATTGTGAAATGTATACAAAAGATTATTATCAGAATTTATGCAAAGATGATGCAAAATAATTCAAACAATAGAAAATTCTATTGTCTAGTGAATAAAGAACATACATCTTTGTACCTTATTTAGCCATAAATAGTACATATTAGTAGTTTAAAAGTAAATATTAGCACCTAAAGTATACATATTAGTAACATTCGAAAGGACACTGCTTCAGTGACAGTTTGATATTATAATCTTGAAGTATAAAGCATACCCAGATGATTTATCCTACAATTCTATTTTAGGGTCAATCAAACTACACTCGCCTCATGAATTTAATGTAGGTTCAAAACAAGCTTGACCTTATAAATACAGGTCTTACAAATAGCAAACAAACTTCATAATGAAGACAAAAGAAGAAACATACGGTTCATGAAAATGGGAAACGTTCTCATGTGGTAAATTCTTAACACATATTCAACAATCTTGAGCTAAGTAATAATGATTAGCCTATGTGCAAATGAAATATGAATGATGAGTCTAATGCTCTTTGACTCCATGCTAGATAATGGCCAGAGGTTTTTGTTTGTTTGTTTAAAGGCACGGCTTTGCACAGTATGACCACACACAGTATTTTGGTCATCTGATTATAATGCAATCAATAACAGAAGCAAAACAACCACTAACCATTAAAATGAGTCTGTTTCAGTTTCTATCTGCTTCGTTTAAATGTAAATACTATGTGTTTGCTGTTTTTTGTACAAATTAACATATATTTACCAAGAAAGTTGTTGCTATTTAGTGTTTTCATTAGCCTATACAATTTTCGCTTAATATTTTCTACAGCGACATCAGATATTTATTAATAAATCAATGGATAAACATTTGCAATGTCATAAAAAAAAAACATGTGTGTTCAACATACTCTACTAAGGAGCTCGATAATTCAATGAGTAAGAAACCCATAATCCCAGAGTACAGCAGAATTACTCGAGGAGGGTGTGGTCAAGAGCACTGGAACAGGTAATGCGTGACATAATAACATAATTAAAAATATATAAACAAACTCAAACGTTACTGCTAGCAGACTTGTAATATTATTTGCTTTCTCTCTGTTCTTTCCGACTTTTTAAACCGCACTTGTGTACATTTGCTTGACTTAGCCTCATAGACTTACCACACCGATTTATTATTACGTATAATAAAAACAAATCACACTCACCCAGAAAATTGTTGCATATACGATTAACGAGAACTTGAGAAAGAGGTACGAGCACCTGTCGCAATATCGGACTTCATTTGACATGTTCAAAACGTATAAATAACACGAAATACGTTCGCGTTGTAGACACTTCCTGGTTTATTTGTACCTGAGTGACCAGAGCACGCGCTCCATTATCGCACAAGCCTTGATTGATGGGTGGTTTGTCCAATGAGAGAGCGGGATTTCACATGGCTTGTATATTGTTTGTATTTCAGGAGTTTATAGACAGTTCATATTCTTAAAGGACATTATTACTTTTTTGATTTAACACTACAGTTAACACGAAAATGTTATATATTATTGTTATATATTCATGTAGGCCTATATTAATGATTTTCATTATGGATTTATGCATCTAAATAGGTTTAGACACCACTGATTTAACCTCTTTTCTGACTGCTGACAGTTTCCTTTTTTTCTTTTTCTTTTTTTACATAGGCCTATATACACATATAGATTACCAAAACATTTTTGCACAAGAAGAACCTCACCAGATTAAGCTTGCAAATCTCTGGCAGAAATGTCAGATTTAAAAATAATAATAATAGTAAAAAAGGGTCAAATGGAGGTAAGACAGGGTAAGATGCTCTCCTTAAAGCTGCAGTCCGTAACTTTTGGCGCTCTAGCTGTTAATAAACAGAAGTGCGTGGGTCTTGCGGAAGAACATTGTAGCCGGAGCTACTTCTAGTCAAGTCAAGTCAAGTCACCTTTATTTATATAGCGCTTTTAACAATACAGATTGTGTCAAAGCAACTGAACAGCATTAATTAGGAAAATAGTGTCAATAATGCAAAATGACAATAGTAAACACTCATTTTTCAGTTAAAGACAGTTCATCATTGAATTCAGTGATGTCAACATCCAGCTCAGTTCAGTTTAAATAATATCTTTGCAATCAAGTCAACGATATCGCTGGAAATGAAGGGGCCCCAACTAATCTTACTTCTCTCTGTTTGTCTATGGCGAATCACGCAGGTACTGGGCTACTCCGCAGCGGTACCTACCCGAACCAGTCTAAATAGTCCGAATATAAACACTTATTATAGGTGTACCGTAGTGATTCAGGACAAGCCAAAAACACGGTTTGGAAAATGGATTTATGGTGTACTCGTTTATTATATGAAATTTGTACATTTTGAACACAAAAAAGTTACGGACTGCAGCTTTAAGAACAATGTGGAGGAGGATGATTATAAATCAGCCATGCAATGTGTTAATAAAGGATTGCTAATTTAGCAATGTAAAATATTAAATGAGGGGTGAGAGGAGTAACTGCACCAGCCCTCACCCCAGAAAGTACAGCAAGGGGTCTAATTTTTAAAGAAAGTAATAATAGCTTTTGATATAATTATTAATAATATTTAAATTTTTAAGTGTCATTAATGTAACATACTAAATTAACTACTCGGTTTAAATTTTATTTTGATAATTTAGTTGAATAATTGAATAACTGATGACAGACAATGCAGAAGTAAAAGAGATTCAAATGAAAGGTAATCTGTTAATATATTTAATTGTCCTTTAAAAAGTAAAGATATGTCATAAATAGCAACACTGTGAATACAAATTTAATGATTTCACTCAACTAACCTACAGATGTCTGAAATGTACATCAAATCAATGGTAATATTACACAAAACCCCCACTAATTACAATAAATATTTAATTTAAAAATAATAACAACTTGGGTTCTGTGCCAAGTCATCATAAGGGTCTAATTTGATCTTTTTACTTCAAAATAAAAACTGTTACTTTTACTACACAAATCCAAAAACATTGATGTGTCCACAACTCCCTCATTATCAACATTTGATATTCAACATAACACGTCACAGATTGCAATTTTCCAGAGACACAAAATAAAAAATAGCGTATAGCCATTAATTAAAAGTGCTGGTAAAAAATTGAGGTTGGGGGGGGGGGGGCTTAATTTGATCTTTCGGGGGTCATCTTACCCTAATTCGCACAATAATGAAAAAGACAGATCTTCAGACATCAACCTGAAATATCATATAGCACTCGAAGTGTCCAAATAAGAGTAATGTCCACTAATTCACTATCCACTTCTTCCACCTGCTGCCCAGACACCTGTCTCATTGCTCTGACAAAATGAACAAATATCACCTCACACAATTGGAGAAATGAGGGGTATCTAAGCAACGTCTCAGCAGAACAAGTACAGCAGACCTCAAACATGCTCTAAACTGTGACATATTTCCATTAGTGTGCGCTACAGGGGTTTGGCTATTATTGATGGCACCAAGATGTCCACGGTTAACGTCTCAATTGCATACCAATTAAATATTTTGCGGTCTTTTACCGAGCTTTTTAGTAGGAGTGTAGGATGCTGTGCGTCACAATGCGCGCTGGCAAAAGTGTTTCATTCAACGTCATTGCCTTGGACCCGACACACCTCCAACACTTGGCACACATTCCTTCAGTTTTTCAGTGCTATATCATCCCTTCGGGCGCAATAACGCACTTCAGCAGGCGGTTTGGACACGAGGCGCACTGACCACACTCACCCTTTGGAAAATGAACTGCTGCAGCTGTCTAAAATACACAAGTTTACCATGTCGTAGCGATAGCAGAGCGAGTCATTCACTGGAATAAGCATACAGATTTATTTATGTGACTACAGCCAAACACAATGGATACCACTTTGGACCCCCTTTCAACATCTCTTCTCTACGACGAGGAAGATGGTAACCAAACCTCCACCAATCTATTCGAGCAGCCGGACTGGCAGGTGGCACTATGGGCGATTGCATACTCTTTAATCGTAATTGTGTCCATCATTGGCAATGTCACTGTTATTTGGATCATTCTGGCACATAAACGCATGAGGACAGTGACCAACTACTTAATTGTGAACCTCGCATTTTCTGATGCATCTATGGCAACTTTTAACACTGTCTTTAATTTCGTGTACGCTTTGCACAATGACTGGTATTTTGGTTTGGGATACTGTAAATTTCAAAACGTCTTCCCAATAACAGCAATGTTCTCAAGCATTTATTCAATGGCGGCTATTGCTGTTGACAGGTAAGCAGACACCAAAGCACTTCATTGAAAATCATTGTGGTTATTTATACATTACAACTTATAAATTGCAATTAACAATCTAAAGATTTGTAGTTCTTTTTCAATTCACCATAACATGTTCCCATAGATTAGGATCATTAATCATCATCCTATGATAACATGACATTAATCGTGCCATAAATCAGTTACAGACTGTAAGTTCCTGTGATAAAACATAGATGAGGTTAGGTCTGTTACCCTTCTGTTTTTGCTGGTCATATATGGTTAAGAGCTGATCTAAGATCTAAATGATGAATCAGGTGGACTGACATCCACCTGGCAGACCTTGATGAAGCTGGTTAGCTATTTTCCCCAGCAGGGATATAAACCTAATTCGACCAAATTTGAGGTTTTGTCAGTGTACATAGAGGAAAATAGCTCTAAATCCATCAACTCGAAGGCTTAAGTAGCCAATAAACCTTTTATCTGTGCACCACCACCAATCTTCCATAGACGGTCAAAATTAGTTAATGATATTTAATATTAAAACAAGTCTTAGATTAATATTCATTCTGGCCCCTTTTAATGATAAATAGCCTAACTCATATTTTTATGAGCAATTGTCATGGTTACTTAAAAGGGTTGAGAAAAGCGCTTAAACGCTCATGCAAACTCAATAAAAATTGTGAATTGATTAGGACCCACACTTAAGCTTTCAATGGGTCTAAATAAGAACCCGTGCGCATGTAGTTCGAGCGCGCAACGTCCCCGAACATGTAATTTACCTGCGCGCGTAATATTCCGTTTCTCTGAAAGTCCGTTTAGTGCGCGCAAATAATGCATTTGTGATATTCCTGGATAATAGATTCCAGTTGACCTGGTGACTCATGAGCAAAATGGGTAGGGAGACTTCGCGCTGGGTGTGGATTGTGTTCTGGTAATTTAATATAAATAAGAGTCTGATTTAGTGACCAACAAGTAGATGATAATAGCCTAATTAAGTATGGGAAATGATGCAAACAATCAATCTTCTCTTTCTGGATGTGCTCCAGTTATACATTATGCATGCAGAAAATTGCGTCCAAAAAAGCTCTGTAATGCACTGAATGGCAATAGAAGGGAAAGTCAACAAAGTGGTATTGCCAGCCTTTTCCATTTTGTTATTCATATATATCAAATTTATGTTACCCTGTCATTTAAAGGCATAAATTCACTTTCATTAAGATGTTGTTGGCTGAAATCCACAGATACATGGCTATAATCCACCCTCTGAAGCTCAGGCTCTCCTCCACTACTACTAAAGTTCTGATCGGGGTCATCTGGACCGTGGCTTTTTCACTGGCCTTTCCTCAGTGTTATTACGCCAGCACCAAGTTCTACTTCCCTCGGACTGTTTGTATGGTGGAATGGCCAGACGATTATGGAGGGAAACATCAGCTCTCGTAAGAAAAGTGGACACAAAGTGTATCCTTTTATTCTGTATGCTTTGCTCAATTTTTACTGACAAGAAAATCATTTTAAATGAGGTTAAACATTGAGAGTAGCCTAATTTTTCACTTCTCAAAGATTTTAATGCCCATCAAAGGCATAACATAGGAATTTTAAAAAATGACAGTAGAGGATTCTTACCTAAAAATGTCCATTTATGTAAATTTGGCTCATGAAGTGCTGCTTGATCTCATAGGTATCAGATTGCTGTGATTATCCTGATCTACTTGCTCCCTCTGCTGGTGATGTTGGTGACCTACAGCCTGGTGGGACGGAGGCTGTGGGGCAGCGAGATCCCTGGAGAAGCATCAGACCACTACCAGAACCAGATGCAGGCGAAACGCAAGGTAAGTGATGCTAGTATTTACTTGTGTAATTTTGTTATTTATTCCAGTTTCTCTGCATAGTCACCGAACTAACTTAAGCCATGTGCCCACATGCACACTCAGATGAAGACAGTTGTCATGTTTCTAAACTCTAAATAGACACATATCACTGGTAGCTACATCTGGGGAAAAAAGTGTATTATCATGAGCAAATGTAGTTAAGTTCCATAAAATTTTAAAATCAGTGGTAAAAC